GGCCCGGCCGTCCCCCTCCGCCCCCGCCTCCCTGTAGCCGTGGTGACGGAGGAAGGGCTCCAGTGTTGCTAGGCGATGAGAGAGCTCGGTGATGCGCCGATGCAGCAGGGAGACTTCTCTGAACAGGTCGTTCACGGATTCGGACAGAGGGCGCACCCTGCAGGACGAACAGAGGAGGCTCAGACAAAAGAACTCAGACACGTTCAGCAGAACACGACGAACGTCCTGACGCTGGGACAGATCAGTAGACATCAGGACCCCTGGGCACAGTTTAAAGTCCCCCAACAGGAACACACCCGAAAACTACATTTGTAGACTCAGAAAAAAGACTCATCCATTTGTTTTTACTTTGCATCTGTTTTCATTTTGTGTGTTTGTTCTTTCTGTGGTTTTGTGTTAGTTTGTGGTCACATGTTGTCTCTTTCATGGTCCCTTCAATTTGTGTCTCTAAACTAATTTTTAATCTCCCTGTTGTCACCACGTCGTGTTGTGTGTGTTTTTTTGTGGTATGGAGTATGTGGTGACACTCAGTGTCTTTGTGGTCACTTTATATGTGTTGATATCTGTGGTGGAGTAAAAGTGAAAAGTACCTGAAAATAAATCTACTTAAGTTAAGTACAGATACATGAAAACTGTATGTAAGTAAAGAAACTGAGTAAATCTACTTTGTTTTATCCCATGTCTGGTGATACTTGAGGAACAACCTTACTAACTGCTGTAGTAGGGATAATAAAAGTATGTATATGAAGCGTTAAATAATGTAAAGTTGATGTAGTGAATGTAAAGGAGGCTCCTCAGACAACATGAGGAATACTGTAAGTGTTGTAAAATACCTGGAGTAGTCTGGTAATAGTGCACTGGGCTGTGAGTGCAGCAAAGTCTTGATCTCGTTGAAGATGCGTTTTCCCCAGGCATCTAACACGCGGGTCACACTGCGCACTGAGGCCACATTCACGCTGTCAGCTGCAGCCAAAACATAAAAGCATCAGGCTTTGATTTACACGGAGAGAACGAAAAAACTGCCTGAGTGACTCATAAAAATCAGAGAGGCACATGTGTGGTAATTATTTCAGGCTCCAGTCGGTCACATCCACTCTGCGGACCTTCTCCAACCGCTTCATTACCTTCACCTCACCCATAAATTCTTATTATCATTCAAAACTTCAAACATTTTGGCGCTTGGTGATTTGCAGGCCCTCGTGTCTCAAAAACACAGGGCATCAAACTGCAGCTTGTGATTTACCTCCCTCTCTGTAGTTCCAGTACCCATAGTCCAGTTCATTCTCCCTGCCGGCCCTGGCCCCAGTTACCATGACGACCACCATCAGCAACATCAACAGAGAGGGAGGGGCCATGATGAGCAGACAGACCTTTAAAGAAGAAAAGAAAAACAGGAGAAAAACAACATGTGTTGAAAAGTTACAGATCAGCTCGTGTCTGTGAAGCAGCAGATGTGATACAGTCGTCAGGTGGAATAAAGTAAAGAAACACAGGGTTCATGTGCACAGCTCAGAAACTCCGTGTCTCAGACTGCACGCACATCTGTATCTAGTGGGAGCTACCGCTTTACTCAAATAATACTTTACTCAAGTAATTACATTTTCTACATCAAACTCTGAAGAACGTGTGACAGGAGGGAGATCCACAAAGCAGAAGCTCGGTGGTTCAATCCCCGGTTCCTCCGACCTGCTTTCTGAAGCGTCCTTGGACAAGATACTGCAGCCAAATCACCCCTGATGACTGTGCCAACAGTGACTGAATAGTGTGTGATAGAAAAGTGTTGTACATGGAAGGGTTTTATGGCTGCTTGTGTGGATGCAAATTGTAAAGCATTTTGAGTGGTCGAGAAGACTAAATACAACCTGTAACCATTTAATAGTTATGTTTACAACACAAGTAAATGATGCAATGTAATAAATTAAACTAACCAGTGGTTTATAAATCTGTTAAAATTAGATCTGCTGCCATCAAGACTTTAAATCTTTTAACTTCAAAGTTAAAGACTTTGATTAGAGCTTCACTTGATCAAGTGTGTGGTTGTCTCAAGTATTTTAACCTGTTTCATTTTTAAAAAGTCGAAAAATGTTAAGTGAAGACCTGAAGAAAACATCTTTTTGACCTGTGACAGTTGGGTCTGCGTGTGTCTGCCATGAGAAGAGAATGGCGACAGAATCCAGCAAACAGAGGAGGTTTTTTTAACTCTAATCCCGTGACTCCAGGTTTATCTGGAAAAAAACACGGTTATATAAGAGGAGGTGAGGCAGGCGACCCAGAAACTGAAGGGAAAAAAATAGGATTGCATCCATATGACAATGTCTGTGAATCACACTGGACAATAATGAGCCAGTGACTCATTGTTGAGGAATTAGAAATGATTTCAGAGGTTGTGTATTTGGGGACTGATCAAACAGAACAGTCAAACTATAAACCCAAACTGCTTGTTTCAATTCTGACTAAACAAATCACCAAGATTTAAAATCAAAAAACAAACCAGTGTCTCTGGTTGCAGCAGCTTCATGTTTATCTTTACAGAGTTACACTCATAGAATTTGTGGCTGGAAACAATAAGAAAATGAATCTAAACTCACAGGTTGAAGAGATGATGCTCCCAGTCTCAGCAGGAAATCCTCCTCACATGTAGCTGGATTAACAGAAACAGTGTCTCTCACCTCTCCTCTGTCACTGCCCTCGTCTTTACCTCCTTTTTCTCTCTTGTTGTCTCTGGTGCTCTCTCCACCCTCGGCTCACAGTTGTAAGATAATGACCAACTATAGTGTAACAGGTCCAGAGGAGAGAGGCTTCGTTTGTGGAGAGCTGTCGAACCTTTACACCCCCAACACACACCCAGATCTCTCTCTCCCTGTCTTTCTCTCTCCCTCACAGACACACACACATAGACACAGACACAGACACACACACACACACACACACACCCAGCTGGTGCCAGATGTGTAGCACACTTTATTACTTGTATAATTTACCCTATTCTGGTCTCTTCTGGTATATGTATGTGTGTATTTATATGTGTATATGTGTAATCTGAATCTGGTGCAGGATCAAGCTTCTGTAGTACTGTACTGTGATCTCCTCAAACATGAGTTATGGACCCTTTTCATCTGTCTCTGCTTCACACCATCTGCCCTTTACCCTCACAAGGCAGCTCAGAGCCTCAACACATCTTCCACCACAAGACATTTTCTTTAAAAAAATACAGCAGGTAAAATAAGGAATTCTTCTTCTTTCTACCTTCTGTATTTCAGAAGGAAATACTGAACCTTTTACTCCACTATTTGAAAGCTGTAGTTAATCTACAGATTAGGATTTGCATGCAAAGTACCCAACAGTATATTTTTGGAGACTATATGACGTGTGGGATGTTTGATGACAGAAACACCAAATCAAAGCAGTTTTTGCTTCTCCACTACCCACATTAAATTGTAGTATATAAAAGTGGTATATGGCCAACTTTAAATTATTGATTTACGTATGCAGACCTTTTGTTTCGAGCAGCATTACTATAACTCATTACAAAAATAATCAATAACATTACAAAAATATTCAATAAAATTGACAAAGTATTAACAGACAAAAAAATTAACTGAAAGAATGAAAAGTAAAAATTATTAACTGCTCCTCTCACTGTTTTATCACGTTGAATAATTTATATGCAAACTGTACTTTATTGTTATAGCAGGTTTTGGTGAGGCTGCTTTCACTTGCTTTACACAGTATACTTTGGGGCAGTGGTTGAACGTAAATAAAGAAAAGTACAATTACTCAGGAACTGTATACAGTATAGTTTCAAAATACACTTTGATTAATAACTAATGTAAACAACAATTAAATTAAGTTACTTTTGATTAAAGACCCCACCAGCTGCAACTTGTAATATGCACATTAATAAATCTATAATTATAACCCAATTATATCATAGTAAGTAAAAATTCTAATAAATATGTATACTTTTGCTGCTAACTGAGTATTTTTACACTGTTGTTTTCCAACATTGCTTCAGGTTGGAATAATGTACAACAGTATTTATTTGTATGTAATATACAACTATAGCTGTAAAATAAAAGTAGTACAACGAAAGGTGCAACTATTGCCTTATGAATTATTTTGTGGAGTAGAAGTGTAATGTTGCATAAAATGGAGATGGTTCTGTATAGTTAAACTTGCATTGCCTTGTTTTACAGGCAGCTGGAGACTCTTTGTTTGTATTAAGTTTAAAGTTACGTTTGTTATTGCATGTAGTGGGATTTAAAAGTGCCATTCTGTACTAGTACATCTGTGTTTTTATATTAAGTAAAGGATTTGGATGCATTACTACCCAGGAAATAGAAGGGATAAGAAGTATTGGAGATTGGCTACCGGATAGAATAAATTATTCTTTATTGACTGGCATCCAGATGTTATTCCAGCACCACGCCCCTCTGTTTCTCTGAGTCACTGAAGCGAGGTCAAAGTTGGCCACAAAACAGACGGAACAAAAATCTCAAAAAGGTCGAGGCAGAGAAAAGGGGACGGGGGTGGATGTAAAGGCAGAAATTAAGAAAACAGAAAAATGTATAAGAACCACTGCCCTTCAACATCTGTACACCTCTCCTGGCAGAGTTACTGTGGAGGAGCACAGCTGGTTCACATCTGTGAAGGAGATATATAAGGGAGTATTTCCCTTCTTCTGTTTTAAGAAAAACCACATGAGGTTTTGTGCGCTCCTGCCTCACACTATTATTTCTCCAACACTGTCTCTCTGTGGAGAGGAGCCAACATTGCACCTCACTTAACATCCTGTGGCTGATGTTGCTTTACCTCTCTGTTAATCAAAGTTTTCAGGCTTTAATCCAAAATTTCCTGAAATAAACCAGAGTTGTAAATGATCACCAATGGACCTGCAGCCCGAGTGTGTGTGTGTGAGAGAAAAATACTAAACTGACATATTGAGGAAGTTGCTTGGAAAGAGGAAACCAAAAACTGCAGATTAGGAAACAGGAGACTTTGAGAAATAGTTAGTAGATACACAGAACAAACATTTTGAAGAAAACCTTAAACCTCCTCATTTACAACCACTGTCACATCATGGAAGCTCAAAGATTTTTCATACTGACCGGGGTATTTTTCTTCTCTTCTGTTTGCTCAGGAATGCGTCCACCAAGTAAGCCTGACTCACATTTGAATGACACGTATTGAGTTCCGTGAGTGCTACAGTTAACTGTTACAAAGGTTTTCTGGATCACCATTGTAACTATCTCTAATAAGGACTTAATGTTTTCACCCCTCTCAGTTTGTTTGTGTGTTTGTTCATATGTAAGATTACGAAAAAACTACAGAATGCACGATAATAAAACTTAGTGGAAGGATGTGATATGCTTCACTTTCTTTCATTTTCAACATTTTCCTTGATTTCTCAGAGAATAATTCATTGATCTTGATGAAAAAACCTTGTGTGACATGTCTTGGGGTCTGATAACTATGAGTATTTAGAATTTGGTGCAGATCTACAGAACATCCAGATCTAGTGATTTGAAATGTGTTTTCATAAGAGGACTGTTGGTCCATTGGATTGTATGAAGCCAAAGATTCTTTGCTTTGTTCATCATCAATTATTCTTTTCTTTAATTTGTGTCTAAAATCGAAAAATTCAAGGCAGTGTTGAAA